GCAACTGCTCACAACAGCGGCCTGTTGGACAAAATATGACAAACCGAGGTACATCTTGTTTAAGGGCTGCTACCACCCTAAACCCTAAAGATAACTTAAACCCTATACTCACTAGTGATTCTGGACGATTTTGACGGGCCTCTGCTTTTTTGGGAGATTTCGGAGGTTGTTAGTCCTTCTGTATCCCCTAAACCCCTAAACCTCCTACTTGAAGCTATGTCCTGAGTTCCCCTACTACCCCCCAGCTTTACTCCCCCCACAAGGTTGCTCTTAATTAGGCTTGTTTGGGGATTAGGGTTTAGGGTCCTAAGCACTAAGCCCTCATTTGGGGATAGTTTGGGGAGTAGTAGGGGAACCCATGGCGATGCGTGTCCAAGTGAGCCTTAGTAGTGAGGTTCGCTTCAGAAGAGCTGACGGACAGCCCTCCAGGCGAATGGGGATGATATGAGCTATAGTCTAAACTCCTTGAAGGGGTTATATAGGTTTTAGGGTTTAGTATCTAGGGTTTAGGGTCTAAACTCCTTAAAGGGCGATTATATAGGGGATTGTAATTACAGGGGAAGATTAGAGGGCTTAATAAGGGGGATGCCAGGAGTTTAGACTATGGATAATATGGTGGTTTGGGGTTTTGGGAAAGGAAATGACCAAGGAAGCTACTATTTAGGGTTAGGGTTTAGGGTTTATGGAATGGAAAAGAACATGTAAACTACAAATTACATTCATCTATTGTGCAGGGAAGGGAAGCGAGCATGAACACTACCATTTAGGGTTTAGGGTTTAGGGTTTTGGACTGGAAGATAAATGCAAAACCACATGGAATGAACATGTAGCACGACATGGAAACTAGGGTTATATAGGTACTATATGGAGATGATGTGGTAGTTTTCAGAAATAGGGAAACCCCGGGAAGGACCCAGACGAGTAGAGTCCTTATTATGGGGACCCCCCAAACCGGACTCCCAATTTGGGGAATGCCCCATGTCTTGGCGGCTCGTAGCCGGCCCTACCTTTTAGAGAAGGCACTTCAGGGGTCTGTGGCAGGAGATGCGGCTGTCCGTACAGACTCTTTGGGATCCCGGTCGAACTTTGAAGGCTTCCTTTTAGAGGGTTCATATGGTAGTTTCCCAAAATGAGGGAACACCAATGTAGACCCCAAAATTCTATAATCCTTTTATGGGGACCCCCGAAAAGGTACCCCTGAGTCTAGTAAACCCCCATATGCCGAGTTGATCCGGGGAGCATGGTGCCTAATTTCTTGCTTGCAGGCTCACTGAGACTGGCAGTGGTTGGAGATCTGGGTGGCTTCCGAGAGAATGGCACGGCGGATCAAGTTCTCACCAGGCATCGGTTGTTTTGATAAAGTTTGTCTTCCTCCAGAGTTGCTGACTTTCAGGAAGGTTTGAACACTAAACCCTAAACCCTCAACCCTAAACCCTAAACCCTAAACTCCACGGCAGGATGCGCAGCAGGATGCCTGATGCGGTGATCCAGCTGGGCGATCTGACGTGGGATCTCTCCAGACAGGTTGGGCTTGACGGGCCGGTAAGCACTGCAGCTCATAGACAGAAAACACTTGGAGTATCTTGGAGTCATCAGTTTTTTACTGGTTAGCTGGTTTGAAGCTTGCAGATCCAGGTGAGCATGTACCTAAAGCAAGCAGGCCAACTTTCTCCGCAAGGAATCGTGCTTGTGCTTGTGTCTGGCGGGTCTTTGGAACAAGCTTCGAGTCATTCACAGACGAAAGCGTAAAGCTGCCAAATCCTGGCAGGATCGGATGTACCATAACGTCCTCAAAAAGCCATAGATTGTCATGCGATCCAAAGCCAGCATTGACCTGTAAGATGGCAGATGGTTTCGAAAAGCGTTCGCCACTTCCTGCATCTGTCTGCAGGGTGCAGCCGCGGGTGACTTTTGGAGCAAGCCTGAAGCTTTGGGGTTGACGTGGCTGGTGGTCAAAATTATGGTCCCTTTTTGGGTCCCTATTATAATACGGCACCTAATATTTAGGGTACCCAAAAAGGGACCATTTTGACAACCACCCATGTGCTTGCATCTGCTTGAACATCGCCAGCAAGTCACGCAGGGCAAGGTAAGGAAGCTAACAGGTCGCGAGTGCTTTTTTAGCCAGCAAGCGTTCTTCAGGTTCCGCACAAAATAGTCTCAGCGCGCTGCTAGTTTCCAAGCGAGCTGTCCAGCTCAGATGCTCTCCAAATGGGGATTTTCCCAAAATAGGGCTACCCCAATATAGACCCCAAAATACTATAACCCTCATTACAGGGAGACCCAATAAACTACTCCTAATTCGGGGATTTCTCAAATGCCCCAGGCTCTCCAGGATCCTGAAATTCAGATGGTCAGAGAGGGAACTGCAATATTGAAGAATCCCCCTAAATAAGGGTTTAGGGTTCGGGGTTTAGGGATTCAGGTTGCCCCCAACCCTAAACCCTAAATTAAGAAAAGTCTAAGATTCTGCCGAAGAAGGACCCACAGTTTACAGACCTCCCCTGACACCGCATGGGTAGTTCCCCAAAATCAGGGTCCCATTTGTGGTACCCCTAAGTATTAGGTGCTGTGATATAATCCATGACCCAAAAGGCGCCTATAACTTTGAGAGCAACCCCTTTGCAAACCCTAAAACCCTAAACCCCTAAAAACCCTAGACCCTTAAACCCTTAAACCCTAAACCCCTGAACCCTTGAAGCCTAAACCCCTAAACCCTTAAACCCTTAAACCCCTAAACCCCTAAACCCTAAAACCCTAAACCCTTTACCCTAAATCCTTAAACCCTAAACCCCTAAACCCTTAAACCGCTAAACCCCTTTACCCCTTTACCCCCAAACCCTAAACCCCTGAATCCTTAACCCCTAAAACCCTAAACCCCCCCACATGCAATCCACCTGCGGGGAGCAGACAAGGCTCGAGCCCCTCACGGCCACCCGGCCTTTCATGCCGCTGCCGGGGGTCGGCGCCCTACATTCAGGGAGACCTACGGTGGATACTAAAAATCCTGCATGACCCTTAGTACCATATACTTTGGGAATTATAGTACTACAGTATATTGAGGTCATGCAGGATTTTTAGCATCAACAGTTGGGGGGTAGTATAGAGATGAGTAGAGGGGGGTAGTTAGGAAACCCATGACTATAGGGTCAGTAGCATCCTGCAGAGTTCTCCCTTCTGCACGTCATGGGAGGAAGGGTGGGTGGAACAGATCTGAGGGAATATTCGGGGAAAATGTTGAAGAGCATCCAGGTATTTCTGCAGACGAGCGATGCAGTTACAGAAGCTCTTTAGCTGATTCTGATACTTGTGTTGTCAAGATGAGGGTGCGCTTGAAATAGCAAATACGTTCTGTATTGCACGCGCGCTCAAGAGGTGGTATATCTGACCCGTATTGAGTTTGGCTTCAGGCCTTGAAAGTCCCAGGTATCGCCTTAGTCGAAAGCTTGCAGGGAGAGACGTATGAGGACCAACCTCTTGCATTTGCCTGACCCCCAAGCACGAGCCATGAGCTGAATCAGGTTTCACCATGCAACTGGAAATGAACCCGCAAGATTCTCCTGTTCAGGCATGTGTTGGGTTTCTTCGCAAGCATTGTTGCAAGGACAGAGACCTCCCTCAAATCTACGAGAGACTCGACCGCATTTGGCAGACTACGTGCTGATACCTCTGCAGGCTTAAATCAGCTTGTGATTCTCATGCATAGCGATGGTCAAGCCCTGACCTCGATTTCCTCGTCTGGCAGCGTGGAGAATTGCCTACACCCTAAACCCATCCTGATGCAGCTGGCAGGCGATTCTTTCAGATGTCGAACTCTAGCAGCGATCCGCGGTGAGCCCAGCGTGGTGAACTTCTAATTGGTTCTTATAGTAGAGAAGAAAAGAATTTCTATAGGGGTTATGCATGGATTATATTCCCTTATTCCCTACTAGCTGAGGAGCTGTAAGATTTCGCCTTGCCAGGTGGAGTGCTGCACACAGCGCCGGTGCACATTTTGATGATGTCATGTTTGTACAGGACAGGCACAACAGCATCTTGCGTATCCAAACAGGTTGCAGCACTTAATATGACAAAGCAACTGGTAGTTTGCCAAAATAGGAGACCCCAACATAGACCCCAAAATACTATAGTCCTTATTATAGGGACCCCCAAAATGGTACCCCCAATTTCGGGAACCCCCCAAAGAGGGCCTCAAACCCTTCAAGGCTAGAGCCAACTTTGCATTCCGGGGACAGAGCAGTCATGCATCTCCACAACTCGCTTGTTCCTAGTAAGGAATCCGGAGTATGTCATAAAAGGATTATGTAGGGTGTTAGTCTTAGTAAGGAATCAGGGAGTATGTTATAAACGGACCATATAGGGTCTTAGTAGGGAATAAGGGAATATGTCATAAAAGGCTTAAAAAGGGATTATATTCCCTTATTCCCTACCAAGAACCAATAACCAATATGACAAGCAGGCCTTGCAACCTGCTGCGCTGCCCCCAGGTGGTATGCCTTCACGGTGGGGTATGCAAGGTTCATCATGTGGAGGCCTCAGGCAGAGAAATCAACCCTAAACCCTAAACCCCAAACCCTAACTAAACCCTGAACCAATGGCATATTTGAACATGTTTTCTTGTCTCAGTACTGATTTGCATTGAGACCAAGGGCCGATGCGCTTCCTCAACATGCGGTGTATTTCTGAAAAAAATCGGGTTTGTATTGTTTAGGGTTTAGGTTTTAGGTAGGGGATACATTGGGGGTATATTGGGTTAATGGAAGAGAAAATGGAAACTACTATTCAGGGATTCTGGTTTAGGGCTTTGGGTTAAGGTTCCATGCGCGCGCAGATCTTTGGGATGCCCTGCCTGACTTGTAACACTGCAAGTTAAGTTTAGGGGAGGGTTTTAGGTTTAGGATTTGGGG